AATGCAATTTTGGTGCTTCATTGGAAAACTGTTCTGGTCTCTCATCTTTCATCAATTGACACTTTGATTCTCATTTTTTTTATTTCTTCAGTTGGGTCCTAAAAATTACAATTTTTAATTTTTTTATTTTCTTTTTATTAAATTAGAGTAAAAGGTTTAAATTTGTTTCAGAATAAATCTCTTTAAGTTAGCTCCTGAGTTGTAGAGTTCGCTGTTACAAAGTTTTGTACTTCCTTTGTAAACAATAAAAGAAAAATGAATAAGAAATCATGTTGGATAACTCTAATAAACTGCAGAATAATCAAAAGGTAGGTGATGTGGTTATTTGTCATCCTTTTTCCTTTTTCCCTCTACCTCTATGACAATGTGAAGGTGGTAAAGGTAAATGAGCTGGATCTTTTGTGACCATAATGTCTTTGAGTTCGAGATTTGGTGTATTAGGTGGCTCTAGGACTTTCTATGACATAGATACTTGCATTTCAACTCTTGCACGCTGGTCATTCTTTATTTTGTTTGTTTTATTTTATTTTTTGATATTGTGTGTATCCAAACCTTTGGGCACCGATGATTCTTTTTGTAATAGATTAATTTGCATATGTTTCTCTCTTTATATTATTGGTAAAGGTGTTGATATTTTACTAGAAAATCAAAATTATGTCTTGTATATCGTACATGACAGGCTTAGCTTATTTCCTTCAAGGGGGGTTTTCCATTTTTACCTTTTTTTTTTCCCTTTCTTTGTTTTTTTCTTCAACTCACTTATGAAATTGTTAATCTGAAGCTATCCTATAGAGCGACGACAAATAGTCTTGGATCTTCTTAATACTTTTTGTTTCCTTTTCTCCTAAATGAATTTGTTTCCGGTCTACATGTGTTTCTGCACACTGAAAGACATAGCACCTTTGTTAAATAAAGAAGAAAAAAATGAATTTCTTTTTGCCATTGCAATTTTGAGTATTAGGTGATATGTTAAACCCAGGTTTGCCTGGGTGATTATTGTAGATATTTTGTTTACATGCAATGGAAAAGCTTGCCTCTTTAAAAAAAAAAAAAACAAAAAGAAACGTGAACATAAAAGATAAAAAGAAATCATAACCATTGAATTTTTTTTGAATGGTCCTAGGTTGCTATTTTGCTTCTTACTGAGATCACTCCAAAAAGTATAACTGTTCACAATCCCACAGAGAGGTGGCTAGACTTGTGGTAAGTTTTACATTTAAGTTTCCATTTTCTTCTTGAACTTGCAACTAAAGCTTTGCTGAAAAACTTTAACTTTCTCTTTAAAACTCCATGGTCTATGTTGCTATTTAACTCTTTTCTACTTAGCTGATGACTGCGAGCAAACTAAAATTATTTGGCTAATGCCGTTTGCTGTGTCATTAGGTCAGGCCAGTGGCATGGCTTTCATTGATACTACATCTAGTGGGAAGAATTGTTACTTATTTATTAATGGGAATAAGGAAATGATATCCTCCATTTTGTCTGTTGCATTTCTTGTTTCCAGCTGTTTGTTAGTGTGAGTTTGTATTGACTGCTTTACGAATGCTTTGCATGTTTTCTCTTTAAATTAGTGAACCTTATGTTACTGAAGATGAATTAAAGCTGATGCTACGTCAGGCGGAGTTGAGTGGAGCAATAGAGGAGGAATAGCAAGTAGTGAAATAAGCTAATTTTTCTTTATTGTACCTGCCTGAGTGTCTCTTTTGTTGCAAATAAGAATTAGAAAGTTTCTTCAGTTTTTGAATTCTTTTACTGAGATGAAATTTATCAGTATCATCTATGCTTGACTTTGGTTGTGCATTTACAGTAGAGCATATCTTTTTGTTGTCATATATTTCTCTACCAGTTTCTGTTTAAATAGTCAGATTCTAGAGGAAATCCAATTTAATTTTTTTGCCAATAGGTGCCTATCTGTTTGTTTACAGTTCAGATGCTGTAATTTTATGAATTCCTTGCAGGATATGATTGAAACTATATTAGAGATAAAGGATACTCATGTTAGAGAGGTCATGACACCCCTTGTTGATGTGGTTATTTAACAGTATTTGTGCTCATTTTATTGATTGAATGATTTTATATATTTATGTATTGATTTTTTGATGGAGCAGATAGTAACCTTAGAAGATGTGGTTGAGGAGATTGTTGGAGAAATCTTTGATGAAAATGATTCAAAGGTAAGCCTAATTACCTCATTAATGACCTTAATGTTCTGTTACTGAATTTGTTATTGGGGGGATGCTAAGAAAACTTGTTGATGAAGTCCAAAACAAATTGGTGTTATACATGTGCTGCTAATTTTCTACAGAACAATTGATCTAGATGCTGCTTTATGTCACCAGTTTCTGGTCTCATTTAGTTTGGCATGTACTTTTTTTGTATTTTCCACGTGACCAAGGAATTTCATGTCGCTTCTTAGGTCATGTAGATATTTCTTTACTCTATCGGTCTCATATCAATTAGTGTTACAAGGTTCAGCTCTACTTGATTCTTAAGTGATTCATTTATACATATGTATAATGATTCTCAAGTGATTCTTATTTTATGCATTTGCTGCTAATTGTATTAACAGGAGGAGATCCAGAAGAAAACTGGCTATATTGTAATGAGAGCAGAGGGAGTATATGATGTCCATGCCCAGGCATCTATTTATTGGCTGAGGACTTGAATATCAAAATGCCAGAGGTATATTATTCTATACTATTACTGGTTTCGTTGTTATGGTGTTTAGAGCACTGAATGGAGAATTTAAACATTAAAGCTAAAGACTCAATTATTAGGATCATTTCTACCTTTGATTATTTCTAGTATTGTACACTTCTCCCGCCATTCCCACAGGCTCATTAAAATTTCATTCTCTGCCACATAGGAGTTGATCGTAGGAATCTTAAAAATAGCCAGACTTATAAACTTGATTTTTTTGATCCCAGTTGCAAGTGAAATTCTGTTTATTGTGACTGTTGTGGGATTATTATGCTTTATGATTAAGTGACCACTGCTTAAAAAAAAAATAAAAAAACAAATGAAGAAGAAAAAGGGGAGAGGATAAAGTAAATAGTTAAAATTACAATGTGGTTTTCAATTCATTTTGAAGTAAAGGCATAGTTAATCTCACACTGTAAATAACTATCAAAATGTTCCTTTAACTTCTAAATTTCATATTTCTACTTCATTGTTCTTTGTTCACCACACTGTTCTATAGGAACATCAGTATGAGACTGTATCTGGTTTTGTATGTGAAGTATTTGGATACATCCCTAGGGCTGGTGAGAGCATCAAAGTTGTCCTCAAAAGGGATAATCAAGATGATGATGATAAGCATGATGAAGATGGATCCGGTCATCAAGATTTGAAGGAAAGGCATCAAATATATAGACTTGAGGTAGGGTAAAAGAACCGAATGGATTTCAGTAGAAAAAACTAAGAAAATGAATGTAGCTAGCAATCATGCAGTCTCTTGACTCTCTTCCACATATAACTTTCTGAAATCAATGCTATTATGGGGGCATGCCCTTGTTCATATAGGAATCTGCTTTTATATTGTTCATCCTATGAGATGCTTCATTTGGTGGCTCAGTTTGCTAAATGAAACTTAGCAACTGATAATAATAATTCATATGCTTCGTTCTTGTGTAACATTCAAGTTTAAACATTTTTTCTGGAAAATAAATTATCCATGTGATAACCGTATAGGCTAATTATACTAAATCTTGAGCACACAATTGAATTACTTATTAATGTGAGTGAAATGTTGTCCCTGATGCAGATATTAGCTACAAATACCTGAAAGGTTAGTGCTGTTCCTTCTGAGCAGATAAACAATGAGGAAGCAATGTCAGAGGCTAAAGATGTAACTCGACTGATTCCCAAAATCATGAAGAGGAAAGGGAACGGTGACAAATTGGATAACATTACCTATGATGAGAATGCATTTTAGAAGAGATAAGAGAATTACCTTTCTGATTACTATGTAGTTCTGAAGATACATAAGATAATGGCCATTAGCTACATTGCATATTCTGTTTTCTTTTTCTTTAGGTCCTTCTTTTCCTTCCCATATTCTTACTGCCCCATGAAGAAGAAACGGAAGGAAACCACAGGATTACTAGGTGGACTAACATTGTAATACTTTTTCACAGATGAAGTATCAACATCTGAAATATCATCATGGTAAGTTGTGCATATTACAGTGTCTCTGGACCATAAATTCTCCAGTAATGGAGTCTGAATGGCATGAACCTGGGTATTCCTGCTCAGCATACTGGCTTCTCTTTTGAGTGTACACTGAAGAGGCAGCTGTGAAAGCATGAGTTCAGATTGGAAAAGCGATCTAGATGGTACATAAGTTATAGCTGCGTTGATCTGCCTTGATTCAGGCAACATCCGTAAGAGCTCTTTCTCCTGCCTCATCTCCTTGGCTCTCTCCAACTGTCTGAACCTTTCTTGCAGAAGAGCAATGGATGGATGAA